TGTATACCTGGATCAACAGTTTTAGCCATATTAAAAAAGACAAGACCGATCAATAAACCAACAAATACTGCTACAACTATTTGAGATAGAAATAATAATGGATTTCGATATGTATTCATCACTGTTCGTTTTGATATATAATATAATTCTTTAAAAATGGATTTTTTAACAATTTTGTGTTTATTATTAGCCATATTAAACGAAGCTATTCGTATTTGTTGGTCGATTTCAAAAGGTATGTGTTGAAATATTTTTGTTCTTTGATAGTGGCAAACTAAATCAGCAAGTTTGTTTTCACCTTCCGGACCGTGTTGATTAGCTTTGAGAAGAATATCCAGAAGAAAATCAGCTGGATTATCATTTGTATCACGTTGAAATCCTTGTTTACGAAAATACGGTAAAACATTTTCTGGTGAATCATTATAAACAATTTTTCCTTTACACATTAGAACTACTTGGTCGAATAAGTTAAATATTGAAAAACGTGGTTGATGAATTGACAATATAATTGTACCTTGAAAAACGGCAACAATTTATTTGCTAAGTAAAATTTATATTTGCTCAATAAATATTTTAAATCTAAGTGGAATAACTAGACGCTAAGTAAACTTAAAGTTTCTTAGCAAAAAAACTACTTGCTAAGTTTGAATATTAATATTTGAGTAAATTATTTTCTTACTAAGTTAATAAATTAGAATCATAGTAATAAACTACATTTGATGAGTAAAAAATTTTATTATTAAGTAATTCATTAGAAAGATAAAGTAGTTCTAAAGTATCAAATCAAAATTTCTATACTACTTGAGGGTGTGAGCATAGATATCATAATTATTTCACACTCACACCCACACCCTCTTTAGATTTATTTTTTCAGATTCACAAACTTACGTCCACTTTTAGACAATCTCTTCAAAAGTTCGATGACCTTTTGTGCTGTTGTTGCATCAAGTCCTAAACAAGTATTACATTTTTAGTTTTCGTATAATTACATTTACATTTGATACGAGACAAACCTGTCGTTGGTTCATCAAGAAATAGTACTTTCAGTTGCAGTACCAATTCCATACCAATACATGTTCTCTTTCGCTCTCCACCAGATACACCTCGAATAAATTCCGTGCCTATTCTTGTATCAGCACACTCTGTAAGTCCAAGATCTTCAATAACTTTTGCGACTCGATCTTGACGTTCTTTTTTCGACATCCTAGTTCGAAGACGAGTATTAAGTGACAACATTATATTTTCTTTTACAGTAAGAGTACCACAAAGAATATCGTCTTGAACAACATAACCAGACATAAATTTAAATGAAGAAGATATTGGTAGACCATCCAAAAAAATATCACCAGAAAGCCCTTTGGAGTCTTTTCGACCGGTTAGAACATCAATTAATGTAGATTTTCCACATCCAGTTGGACCTAGATAATAATCATGTGTTTTTTGATAGTCAATACAATTTACAAAGATTAGTTTTTACCCATAATTGCATTTATTCCTGATTTAAAAATGCCATCAATATCATCAAGAATTGGTTTTGGTTTTGTTTTTGATTTAAGAGGAGATACACACCAAAAATCACGGAAATCATAAATAAATTCATTACCTAATACATATTTTATATTACGAAATGAAATTGTATTCTTTGATTGAGCATTACTATTTTTTAATGAATTATGAAACGATGATTGATTATCGACGTGTATTTCATCTTTATTGTCATGAATATTAACTTGCGGGAGTGAAACTATTGTTGATTGGGTCATTCTGTGTATTCACAAAATAACTGTTTGAATTTAAGTGTGTCCATTCACACTAAACAACAATTATATACGTTCTATATTTTAGCTCAAGGAATATATACCAACATGAAATACACATAAAAAATAATTAAATATATTCATAATAAAGAATAATTGATTATGATTTGAAACAATGCATAGAAAAAACATGATTAAGTTAATGATGCGTAAAATATTTCTCGAGTACTTTTCATATTACTCGTATCCTTTCCAAGTTTGAAACGATGACTGGAGACAACAATATTTATTTCTGAATAAAAGGTAATAGACTTTCTATCAATGTTTCAAATGAATGATTTATTACATTGAAAGAAAAAACAATGTGTTTGATGTGTAATATTACAGAAAATATGTATGATATTATAAAATAAACATCAGATAGACAAAATACCAACCCTCGAAAATTTCCTATAATTTATTAGTATATGTTTCTCAAAGTTGTTATTAATTCTTTTTTGAAATAATTAATTTTTATATTAGTTAATTTTTCGGTCATATCTGAATTAATTTTTGTCTCATTAACTCAAGTAGTGAAGGTAATTTCAAACATATATTACAGTTTTTTTATTCGTATATGTACAATTGAAAAGTGTTCTATAGTTTTGAGAGTAAGATTTTTCTACAATGAACGTCGTTCGATAAACATTTGAATAGGAACATGAGGTCGTAGAATAACATCCATGGACAAATGTAATTGATCAATAGTTTGAGTAGAACGAAAGATGAATTGCCGAAATAATGTTGACAATACAACTCTTTCTTCAAGACCAGCAAAGCGTTGACCTAATTGAAATTATTCGAAATATCTTTGAAGAAAATTACTATTTACTTACCAATACAATTACGAGATCCAGCTGAAAATGGAATAAATGCATAATGTGAATGTTGATTTTGATTGAAAGAATTATCAAGAAATCGTTCTGGATCAAACGTTTTTGGATTAGGAAATACACTTTCATCATGATGAATACCGTATATAAAAATAGATACAGTAGTACCTTTGCGTACTATTTGATTACCTATAAGAGATAATAGACTTCAATTTAAAGTAACTTTTTCTTTTTATATTACAAAAATCGTAAAACTTACGATAGATGAAATCTGTTTGTGCTTCCCGAGATATGAATGGAACTGGTGGAAGAATACGCATACATTCCTTCATTCATAAATATATATTCATTTTTTTACAAGATTATCTTTACTTTTATAACACAATCAAGGTAAGTCATTTGTTCAATATCTTCAATTGTACATGGTCTATTTCGATCATCTAGAAGGAAATGAAAAAATGGTATTGACAAACGAAAAGAAGATATATTACTTTCAAAAATCATATCCATTTCAGTATGAACTTTTGATTGAATATCTGGATAACACCCCATTAGATAACAAAAGAAATTAATAGCTGCTGCAGTTGTATCATGACCTGCAAACATGAATGTGTCTACTTCCTCATGAATATCATCAAACGAAAGTTTTTTTTCTTGCATTTGAGTGAGAAGACAATCAAGAAATACAAGACGATGTGTACATTTTTTATCATCATCGTCATCATTATTGATCATTTGTTTTGCATTAAATGTAACAAGACGTTCTTCAATAATCTTAATCACAAAAAATCATAATGATAGTTTATTATAGAAAGATCTACCTTTCGAGAAAAGCTATGTAGAATGTTGAGTAGTTTTGTATGTTCACGTCCAATTGGTAATCGATTAAAAATACATGATGGCCATAACCATGGAGATCGTAAACGTTTGTTTATAATATCACCAATACTAATTAAAAAGAAATATTCATTTCTTAATATATATGTATATCTTATTTTATTTTACCGAACAGTTGCTTGAACAAAATCATTATGTTCACCATCTAATTGTGCTTTAAGATGTGTACCTGTTGCAGCTTCTGAAAAAAAGAAAATTTTTAATAATTTTATTAAATGAAAAATTCAATAGACCAGCAATAATATCAAGTGTACATGCAGATATACATGGATAAAGATCATGTGTTTTATACGATTGTTCAGAATATTTATTAAAACGATCAGCAAGAATAAATGATTGTTCATTGAATATATGCATATAACCATGTAATAATTCCGTATTATGAAATGAAGGAGTAATAAGACGACGACGAGTACGCCATTTATCATTGTTACTAATTAGTATAAGAAATAAGACTAGTAGAATTCATTTTATAAATTATTATACCTTGTTACCAAGCCAGTCTTAAGCCATGGCTGTAAAAATATATAATCAAATGATTTGATAAGTTGTTTGCTATTATTGATAAATGTCTATGTCAATTGAAAAGATAAAATTTGATAAAACGAGATATAGTATCTATATATACTTCTAATCCATTCGCTGAGCAAATATATAGCACGGGTGATAATGAATACCAGAGACAAAAAATACCTTTTTCTTTAATTTGACATTCATGTGATAATCGACACATTAATTGAAAGAAAATATAGGGTCGATGATCAATAAGATGTAAGTTTCCAACAAATGGAATAGATGAAAATGGAAGAAATGAAATATTTTGATAATCTTTTTTTAATTGTAAATATCGAATGAAAGTAGGTAAAATATATTTTACAATAATAAGAAGTATACCAAAGATTATTATTAATAATAATATCATTATTCTAATTGTACAAAAATGATTATGTCTTATATAAATAGTGAAAGAGTACAGTATAAGATTAACTATCGCCCTCTACGTGTTTCTTTTTTTATTTTATTTTCGTTCTACCATCTGTGACATATACCATTCTATATTTATTCTTTTCAATCATAGTGTAATATTTTTATTTTTCTTCCATTTAAACACGAACATATGCTGTTGTATCTATGTCTTTTGTTCGTTTATCTATAATGATGATACATATAGTATCAAAGTATTTGACTGTATATATCTATAATTCTTGTTTAATATCATATACATGAAGAAGTATATGTATGACTAATTCCATTTTATTCTTTCTTTCAAGCCATTTTCTTAATTGATTCTTTTTTAGATAGAAGAAAAACAGAATGTATTCATCATTTATTGTTACTATTCTATTTTTATTTATTCAATTGGTAATAGGTGCACATGTTGAAGATAATCGAATTATTATTGGATCAAGTGTAGGTGGTGTACTTGGTTTAGTAAGTTAAATTTAATATAAGAGTATATTATTTTGTAATATGTATAATGTAATAGATTATTTTAATTCTTGATCTTATTGCTATTTTTGAATTACTTAAATCAAGTGGCCGTGGTGTATGTTCGAAACTTATTTGGATTTTAATTATTATCTTTTTCCCAATTGGTGGTATGTAATTAAAATTCTACTCTAGATTTTTATTATTCATATTTCTTTTTTTCTAAGGTTTAATTTTATATTGTTGTTGTGCACGATCTCGTACGGTTGATGAAATTGTTTAAAAAAACAAAATCGACTCATATGATTGCTTATTTATTCTTTATTATACACATTATCTTGTTTATTTAATCAAGCCTATTGTCATATAATTTTCTTTTTTGGTTTCTTTGTTAATTTTATTTAATATACATAACTCTAAGATATCTATGAAATATGGATTATTTAACTAAAGTTCTTTAAGTTAATCTATTGATTCAATGATATTTAAAGTAGGTTTTTCTTTCTTAATCAAATATCAATATACTTTTATTATTACTTTTTTAACTCGAAATATCTCCATTGGTATCTGTTATAGGCATACAAAAATAGTTGCATGCAACTCGTCGAAAAAATCCTTTACTTGGTGAATGTCGTTGACAAATACGATCGTTATTTTTTATTTTTTCTTGCGATTTATGATATTGTTTCTTCAATGATAATTTGTTGTTTTGACATTTTTTATCGTTAAAACACGAAGGTTGTTGCTGTTCTTGTTGTTGTTGTTGTTGTTGTTTTGTATGATGTTTTCGTTCACTAATATTGTTTACTTTAACATGAGAATCTTTATAATCAATTGAACGATGATGACAACGTAGATTATTATCACTCAATATATATTTTTTTCTTTGTTTTACTGATGAAGGACATTCAAGTAGATTATATAGATCACAATAAGTATCTTTATCATGTGATTCTTGATAAATTCGACGATTTGATGGAATCGTAGTAGTAGTAGTTTGTGGTGATGGTGGTGGCGAATGTAATGTTTGTTGAGGATATGTAGCATAATAATTTGATGCATAAGTAATAATTGGATCTTCTAATCGTCGACGACGATGATGTTGTGTTGTTATTGTTGTTGGTGGTGATGATATTTGATCATGATAAGATGGAGAAGAAGAACAAGTAGGATGATTCAAAGTATTATTATAGTCAGAACGAGTGAAAAGAAAGGAAGAATAAGAATTAGTATTAGGATAAAATGTCCGGCAGTACATGTTGAAGATCATGCATGCCGGCTAGACAAAAGTCCTAAATAACAATAATAATAAAATTTGCAATCTTCATAGACTTATAGCAATTTAACTTACATTTTTTTTAGACTTGT